GGGCGGGCGCGCAGGTGTCGCGCCGCCCGGGGCCTGCCGGGGAGCGGGGGGGGGGGGGGGGGGGGGGGGGGGCGGGGCAGGGGCCCCCTCTCCACTGGCCCGCTGCTCTTCGGACGGGGGCGCACTGGAGCGGACAAGGTGAGGGGAGTTCGGGGGGGGGGGGGGGGGGGGGGGGGGCGGCCTTGCCCAGTACGTCCCCACAGACACGTCGAGTTCTGGCCAGTGTCGTGCATAGCGCGCGGGCTTCCGCCGAGGGCGGAAAGCATGAGAGCCCCAGCGGCGGCCCGCCCAGGAGGAGCCAACCAACCCCGCCGCCCGTCCTGAACAGGCCCGGGCTGGGCAATGATGGGATCTGGATCATCAGAACGGCACGCATCTCGCCTCACCTCCCGGGGGAGGCATCCTTCTTCCTGGGCAAAAAAAAGAAAAAAGAGACCACGCCCCGGCGCGCCCGGCCACAAGAGCAAAAATGCGAATGGGCGAAGAGAGGGAGAGACAAAGGGGAAGACAGATGGAGCAAAGAACACAAGGAGCAAGTAGGGAGTGGGCACCCCCTCCCAGGGGGCAACGGAAGTTTGTTTATCCCACGGCGAAAGACAGGGAAAAGGGGGGAGGGAGGACACACGGCAGAGGAACGAGGAGGAGGGTGACTCCACCACAAGGACAAGGAGGGGAGGGGAGGAACATGAGAAAGGAACCGGCCGGCCTACCTCCGAAGAAGGAGCAACGCTCGATGGGCCAATCGCGGGAGGGCAGATGCCAGGGCGGACCGACTGCCCGCAGGAAGCCGGCACAAGGCCAACATGTGTGAAGGAGAGGGAGAGAGGGAGTTCGCCCCGGGGAGGGCAGGCATGGAAGAGAAGAAGCGCCGGCCCATGCAAGCCATGGAGCTGACAAGGCCGACAGGCGAGCTGCCATCCGCCGAGACGGGCCGGGCCGCTAGCGTCCCATAAGACCGGTGGTGGAGGTAATAATGCGGAGCCGGGGGCGCGAAGCCCGTCCCGGCGAAGGGCGGCCCGGCATGCATTGACGGCTGGGCCGGCGCAGCCGCCGTCAGCATATGGTGCTGCTGCGAAGGGGGAGGGAAGGCAAACTGGTGATGGTAGGCCACGGCACCCAGGCCGGCGGCCATGGCAGCAGGAGAACCCCCCGGCGGACCGGAGGCCGGGGGCCGCGGCGTGGCCGCCGCCGCTCCCGCCGACCCGGTGGTCGCTGCCCCCGCCGATGCCGCTGCCCCCGCCGCACCGCTGCTGCTGCCGCCATCAGTTGAGGCATTGGCCGGTGGCGCGGTGGCCGTCGGTTCGCCGGCACCGGGCGACGCCGAGCTGCCATCCGGCTGAGCCTCGCCCTCGGGCCCGGCCACATACTCACCCGTCCCGGGCGACAGGTACATCGGATATCCCGGGAAGTGCGGGGCATCATGGAAGGGAACCGGATGGCTGGATGGCACAAAGTACTGGTAGTACATGAGCGGCTGGTGCGGGTCCTCCCCCATGTCGGCGGTCTCGCCGCCCGGCAGTGTCGACCCCAGCGGAGGGACACTGGCCGCCGGGGCGGTTGCCAAGACCTCCTCTGGCGACTCATCGAAGACCTCCATGTAATTGGAGGCCGGCTCTGGTCCAGTGGGATAATGGTGCAGGGTATGCCCGTGCGAGGAGGCATGCCCGTGCCCCGGATGCGGGTGGTATGACAAGGAAGCATGATGGTGGTGATGGTGATGATAGCCGACTGCGCTGGACTCGGCGAAATGCACCAATGGGCTCGGGTGCATGCAGTCCGTGTGCGGGACCTTGGGCGGAGGCTGTGACGGAGGAGGAGGAGGAGGAGGAGCTGCCGCCGCTGTGGCTACCGCCGCCGTCGCATGGTAATGATACGGATAGTAGGCCGGTGCAGGCTGTCCCAAAGGGGCGGGCGCCTCGTGCGGCATGTAATAGGGACTCGGGGCAGCGGGAACCGCCACAAAACGCCCGGTTTCCGGTGACCGGCGATAATGGTAAACCAACGGCTGAACCGAGTCACCCAGGGCATCAGCCCGCGACCCGGGCCCAGACCCGAGAACGCCTGCACGAGATCCGGCACCGGCAGGTGTACCGGCGCCGGCAGCCACGGTCGACGCCGAGCTGGATCCTCCTCCTCCGTCACCGCCGCCCGAGCGGGAGATCGAGGACGTCCGACTGGCCAAAAGCGCGGCCAGCTCCTTCGGATCCATCTCGGTGGCCCGCGCACAGAGCGACAGCACCGAGGGGTCGGTTTCGCCCAACAGCAGCGGGCAGTTGTCACACTGTCCGGAAGATTGGGAGCACACGGAAAAGAGCAACGGCGACTTGGAGCTATCGAGACCGGTGCCGAAGTCAATGTCATTGCCGGTCGGTGGGGCTCGAGTCACCTGCAGAGCGCCAGGGCAGATGGGGTCGCGCTTGTGGGACTTCGGCTGGACATAGTGCCCGTCTACGCGCGTCCAAATGCCGAGATGCTTCTCGCTGTTGCCGGACAGACAGATAAGTGGGTGCGTCAGGTCAGACAGGACATCGCCAACGGGGGGAGGAGAGAGCGGAGGGCGAGAGCGGAGGGCGAGAGCGGAGGGAGCCTGTCAAAGGGAGTAACCCCGCACCGTGCATTCTCCTGCAGGTACTCCAGGAATTGGACCCGTGAGGCTGACAGATCGCCATGGCCATTGTACACGACGCCGAGCCCGCGCTTGACAATGTCCGCCGCCACGTCGATCAAGTGAAGAGGCGCCAGACGCGAGTGCGAGAAGAGGGTGCCAACCTACCCAGCACAATCAGACCACCGGGGGGGGGGGAGGGAGGAAAGGAAAGGAGGAGCATGGCGAGGAATCCCCCGGTCAGAGACGGCCACCAGCCCGAGGCGAGAGGGATGCGAATGGGGGGGGAGAGGGATGCCAGCTGCGCAGCGCACCAGCCGTCCGTAGCGATCCACCCGGTGCGGCTCGATGGCCACCAGGCGCCCCTCGGTAATGTCGCGTAGGCGCTTCAGGGCCGACGCGCTCAGGGGCTCGGCAAGCCGGCGATTGTATGTGCGCGAAGGCGAGTCAAAGCCGGCCGGGCGGATGACCAAGTAGTCGGTCTTCATCTTGTCCAGAAAGTAGGTCGACACTAGGGAGGATGGGCGAGGGGGGG